ATTTTGTTCCTCAAAAAGGGACATAAGTGATCTGTGAAATTTTATATGCTAAATACTTTAGGGACCCATCATTAACTATAATATCAATTTTTTGTCAAATTTTTTGATAAATTTTTTGCTACAATAATTTTTTTTCTAAATTTTTTGCCACAGTATCAATTTTTTTGTCAAATTTTTTGTCACGGTATCAATTTTTTTGGCAAATTTTTTATTATAGTATGTAAAAAAATTTTTTGTCACAATATGCAAAAAATTTTTTTATTACAATATTGTCAAATTTTGCATTGAATTTTTTTACCATAGTATGTAAAAATTTTTTGTCAATATTTTTTATACTAATGATAATAAACATAAATAATTTGTTAACTTTTTTATTATTACATTTTGTCAAATTCAATAATAATTCAGTAACAAAATAATATAATTTTGACTAATGTTATAAATTATAAATAATGCAAACTATAATATAATATATAATACGTAATTTATATTATAATAATTTAATTCACAACTCTTTTCGCTGATCTTCTGACCATACATAAAAAAGTTGTTCACAAGAAGTTTTATATTTCTTTATTAATAAAGTCTTCACACTTTCATTAAAACAACCTGAAACCTGTCTTCATGTATCTTTTCTATCCTTTTTCACTTGGTTATAAACTCCTTTAAATAAAAACTTGAGCCTCTAGTGGCTCAAAAAGACTCAAGCACATACTTCCTATACTAAGGGCAAGAAGGTTCTAGGAAGTAAAAGGATTGACAAGTGGAGTATTACCTTACAGAGCTAGAAGTGACAAACAATAGAGGTTCTGTTGACAGGAGAAGGCTTATTATTCATCTTCTTATTCTGTCTTATATCCTCTTAAAGTGTCTACTATTTTTTCATGGTTTTCTTGTGAGATTTTGCCTACCTCAGTTTGATCCTGAATTTTTGGTAGCACAATGTCACCTGGCATCTGATTGACTGACACGAAACACGTTAGTAACAGAATGTAAACAAGCTCCTATTGGCCACCTTACATGTCTCAAATGCATTTCCTCAGCTCCATAAGAACCTGGGATCCACCATAAGTCATTTGCTCTGATGCAGGTGGATATAGGACGCACCACTATACAAGTTATTGACCATCTCCAGAAAGAGTCCATTCAACTATAGTAAAGGTTACAAAATACTGCATCTGGTTTTTGGAGATGCAGTTATTTATCTCTGGTCATCAGATAGGTTCTCCTAGCTCCATTGAATAGATAAAGATTCAAAGATAGGGCACTGGTTCCTCTATCGATTCCTTAGCTCAGCTTTTAAGGACACAGAGAATGGAGTGTATGAATAGTGACCTTTACTGCACTGGCATACAATAAGGATCAATGAAAATAGTCTGTGGATTGGTCTACCGGTATCAATATATATGTACCTATCCCAACCTCTTCTTATTTCAAAATAAGATTGAACCCACCTTTCCTTCCCCTATATCTCCCTGAAAAAGTGACTTAGTAGTCATCCTAAAGACTTTCTCTTTCTACTGAGCATTAGTATCTTACTCCCATGTATGATCTGCACTGATATTTTGGGAGCTTCCGCAAGGAAGCACAAGTCAGCTATCAAAGGCAATGGTTGAGATTCCCGCATTTTTCAAAAACCTAGATAAAGGTATTTGAAACACAACTGATATTGCGCAAAAATTATTGGGGGATCTGAAATATGATCAAACCATGCACTGATGTTTCCACTATTATATATGAATGAATATTTGACACTACCTAAGGGGTTTTAATGAATATTTTGAATAAAATTTTCTTTCCCCTGAAAAAGTCGCATAGCAAGAAATTGTATATATAAATTAACTATCCCATCCACTTATTTATTTTCCGACCTTCCTTCTTCCTCTCTAAAAAATTTTTTTTCAGCACTAATGGCCCTTCACTAGTTCTCATTTTAGAGACAGCAACATGTCCGAGGTTAACCAGTATAGTCATATCACTACTTTATAGATTTACAATTATATTTTTAACATGTATTATATCGATATTTAAAAATTATATCGAATAAAGTAAAGGTTGAGCTGACGTTTAAAAAAAAAAAAAAAAAATTATTATAATTTAATTAATTATATATAAATATGAATAATTTTTTTCACAAGTTATATAAATTTTTATTAAATAATAGATAAATAGTTATCAAATTTTTAATAAATAATTTTAATGAATAGTTAGTAAATTTTTAATAAAAGTTTTGATAAATATTTATCAAATTTTTAATGAATAAATTTAATAAATTATTAATGAACTATTAATAAATTTTTAGTGAATTATTAATTTAATTGTTAATAAATAATTTTATAATAAACTTTTATTAAATTGTTAATAAAAATTTTTGTAAATTATTTATGAATTATGAATTATTAAATATTTTTACTATTTTATTAATAAATTATTGTTGAATTTTTATTTATTCAATTTTTTAATTATCAAATTTTTAATTATCAAATTTTTGATTGTCAAATTTTTAATTGTTATTTTATTATTAAAATAGTATACGTCAAATGGCAATAATTGAAAAGAATTTATTAATATTTTTATTACTAAATTTAATTAAATTTAACAATAATTCAATTGCCAAATGATATAATTTCAACTATTATAATAATTAATAAAAGTTAAATAATATCTTTGATATTAATAACAAAAAAGTTTTCAAAAGTAAAAGAACTAACTATAAAATATTTAAAAGTTTTTTTAATTTTTGAAATAAAAGATTATAGAGGTTTTATTATAATAAAAAATTTTATTTTTTTTTTTAACTGTTTAAATCTTTTTAAACCTTCTATTTTTATAGTTTTTTGAAAAATTTTACTTATCTCAGTTTGATTCTGAATTTTTGGTAACACAAATTCTTGTTAGAAATAATTGGTTAATACAAAACACAGTGGTTTTTTAAAATATAAACAAGTTCTTATTGATTATATTCATATGTCTTAATGATATTATTGATAATTAAAAAGAATATTCTAAAAATTTTTGTTTTTCAAAAGTTCAAATTTCTTAAGAAAGACATTTATAATATCAAAAAATCAAGAGATAGATAATATAAATTACAAATTATTATTTCTTTTTTAAGTTTTTTAAATAATAATAAAGTTTTAATAAATAAAAGCTAAGATCTAAATACTTTTCTTGAGATATTTCAATTTGATATTCACTTAAATAAAAAACTAGTTGGATTGATTTATCTGATATCATAGATAGTAATAAAGAAAATTTTTTTCAAGACTTATAAAAAGTAAGAAAATTATTTCAATTAGATGGATTTTTTTTAAAAGAAGAATTGGTTTCTTTTTTTTTTTTTAACTTTTTAAATAAGACTATAAATTATGTTCTTTTTTAATTTTAATTTTTTTTTTTCCTTAACATAGCAATTAATGGTTTACAAATAATCTACAGTAATAAAGTATTAATAATAAACTTAGTAAATAGAGGTTTTTTATTAATCCTCTAAGAAAATAAAATATTGATTCCTAGATTTGACTTAAAATACAGTACTTCAGTGCAATTATGAGTTAGTCATTACATAAAAAATCTATTAATATTGTAGATACTATATTTATATAAACTTCTCAATAAAGATTAAGCCATATGTACAGTATTATATATACTATATATACAGTATTATATTTAACATGCAATACATAATACATATTATTTTATTAATTTAAACACTATAATATATAATAGGTAGAAATATTGACACATTAATCTGTCTTGCTTATAAACTTTAAAGATCTACAATTTGTTTGATTACTTGTGATACAAATATCTTAAGGTTTAAACAAACAGAAATTTACCAAAAGTAAATAATCATCTGCGAACTTCATGACTTTAATCATTGCAACAAATATTTTGATTTTTTATGATAATATTGTTATTTGCAGCTAAGAGTATATACAGTATATATGGCAGTGACAAATTCAAAATAAATGGTTTACACATTAAAATCATGACTTGGTATCCATATAAATGAAAGGAAGCAGTTTATGTAAGGTTATGAATTTATTATATGCACAAACAAAAAGTATAAACAAGAGAAAATAACGAAAAGTAGGTATTTATAGGTTAGAAAGTGATATTGATTATTATATGGACAAAACATTATATTTTTTTGTATATATATTATATACTGTATATATATATATTATAAACAAGAGAAGATAACAAAAAAAAATAGGTGTCTATGAGGGTGGCGCGTTTGCGGGAAAGTAATATTGATGTAAGACTATATACATATGCACAAGCAAGTGTATACAAAAAATAATGGAGGGCATTTCACAAATTCTTCAAGACGTTTTCTAATTGGAAAGGTGATATTGAAAAAATAAATTAGCAATGACCAATGATAACAATAGATATGTAAAGGTTTATATACAAACCATAACGAAAAGGCAAATGATCCACCAACATATTTGGAGAAAACCGAATCTCTTGAAATATTTGTTCAACCTTCTCTACTTCAAGCATTATGTACTCTTTCCCACAAGTACTGTTGCAATTGCTGCTAATATTATTGGAGGAGTCTTTCTCAAGTTTTTTATCCACGTCACTTGTAGTGCTTCCTTCTCCATCATTATCACTCTTACAATTATCTTTTTCTGTCGTATGTGGTTCCTCCTCCTCGTCATCTTCATCATCACCTTCACAGTATGGCGACCTTTTACTTCCCACAATCCAATAAACCCTTCCCGCAGGATAAAGTTTTGGATTTTGCATGTGTGAGTAAACATCCAGTCTTGCCTTCCAAAACCACGATTCATATTCGGCCTTTGAGGCTCGGCCTTTTTCGTCATCACCAAATTGTCTCGATTGGTAGTCGAGCACTTTCTTGATGATTTTGCTGGCAGTTTCTTCCCCATTCTTGGATTTATTTCGACCAAGGAATCTTACCATGTTCCGCAAGTCTAGCACATGGCCCAAACTTAGTCTGCAGATCATATCACTGTCATAGGCAACCGATGTAATTAGGTTTCTGGTACGTCTTGAAAGTTCAGCGGACATTACGCATGGAGTCGCGAATGCATAGGCATGAACTCTTCGGCCTAGTGGTAGACGACTCCATCGAGTGGTCATACAAGTTGAAGGCGAAGCCAGAAGGAGGGCTAATAAGCTCGCAACCCCTATAAAACGGTATTAAAAAGATTGGTTAATCGCGACGAGAATTACACATTTAAGCCTTGGCAAATCTGTTTATCCGCCAAAAAAAAAAAAAAAAAGAAAAAGCTGTTGATAACACGTACCGGCACCAAGGGAGTGGCCGACTAATATTAGGCCATAATCCTTATTTGCCTCCATCTCTCTTTTCAATGCTTCAAACACACCAGATTGTCCGGGGGTGGCCATCGATCTAGCCACTTTAATCATTCCTTTGTGAACCTGATGTAAGGTGTCATCGCCTCGCTGAACATCTTCGGGCAGCTGAAAATCTTCATATTCGCAAGTAAGATCCACAATTAAATCATGAACTGACATTGTCCCACGTAGAGCAAGGATTATTGATTGTGTGGTGTGATCACGGATCAAGAAATATGTGGGTTGGTAACCATCATTGTTAGTCACTTTGTGATGCGAAGAATCAACAATGGAGTCTAGCGATAGATCGGTTGAACTGGCAAATGCGAACCGATACAGAGAACCTCTTTGTTGTTTCCACAGACGAGGCGTAGGAAATGGTATACGACTTTTTATGGCCGTTGTGATATTATCATATGCGGATGATGAAAATTTTGAATATCGTTTCAGATTGTGCAGAAGGGAAAATAATCTCTCATCTCTACTTTGATACTCATGCTCTTCCAAGTACGGATTACTATATCTTTTCGTGGTTTCCAAATAAAGATCACTTAGTCGCTTGGCACGGTCCTCATTCATGTTCAATTTAAATTCAGACAACTCTTCACGAGGAGTTAACTCTCCAACCACTATATTATTTGATTTATTTGTATTAATGACCACCATCTCTTCATCCTCCTCCTCTTCGGCCATCAGCAACTCTAATTCATCTATCAGAGTGTCATCGGGCTGAATGTGTACCCAGTCGCACATGTCCCATAGGTCAACCAGCTTTATCCTCTTCCAACCACCCAAACCTCTCTCCCACCTTTCACCTGTTACATATTGGAGACATGCCCAAGCAGCCAATGCTTTCATCACATTAAAGATTCCAAATGGCTCATCGAGCTCGGCACCATCTTCATCGTACTGAAAATTCCATTCACGTTTCACCAATTGAACGAACTCAGCCAAAGCTTTGGCTGCATCCGTTGAACCAAAAAGTGTGTTGATCAGATTCACGCTTTCGGTGGCTGTACCCAAAGCTAGTTGCACCGTTTCCGAGGTGAAATCTAGACCGGCTAGAGCGATTTGTTCGGTCAAAGAAAGAGTCTGGTGCAGCAGTGTTGTTGAAGTGTCAATTATTCTAGGAATGAAAAATAATATTCTTACGAAATCAATAACAAAATAATAAAGAGACGTATAATAAAATCAATATGGAGAGATTGTTAGGTGTAGTATAAGAACAATGATTTATATAAATGAATATTAAATCCTACCTTCCAGCACCGTCCCTTGAAGAGGTTGCCTGCACCATTCTTTCAGACATTACACCAGTGATGGTTCTTGCAATATCCAAACCAGCTCTGGTGGAGAATTTAGCTGTTTCTAGGGCAATCTTTGATACAACACCGGCCAAGTCCAAACCTACTTTTGATACGGCAGCAATATTTGAAACAGTCATAGCGAGATCAGAATGAGACTTGCGTACAAGGCTAGAATCAGTGACTACACTGCATTCGTTCTCTTTGTTTTGACTAACTGGTTCGGAAGTTCCTGTCAACACTAATTCTTGCGGCGGTGGCATTCGCTCCTGACAACAAGTCTTCCTTCTGCGAGCTTGTAAGGATAGATGTGTATCTTGATCATAATTTAACTGTGGTATTAACCGTTCCACAGAAACAACATTCGGCGTCGAGTCGACTTTTTTCTCTTCCGTAACCAGATTATCGCTTTCTACTGAGGAGTTACCATCACTCTCATAAGCATTATTGTTTTCTTCGTTCACAGGCATGCTCACAATAATATTCACCAGTAATAATATATCCTCAATCCGTAATAGTAGTGATTATATTATTATTATGAAAAGTGGAAAAAGATTCGATTAACCAAAATCTTTTAGGGGCATCATTTATAGGGGAGATCATTTTTTAGCCCTGATGTGATTGATGTACTAACGCCAATATAAATAAACACTGGTAATACTGTATATCGATCAATGCCTTGTATAAATTTGTCACGCCAACTTCTGGGATTCTATATATAGGATTAATAGTACTTTATAAAGGATGCCGGTGTACATTGTACGAACGTACACACATATTTACGTATTTAAGTGGTACAGTTTTAGGTTGAGTTAAAATCACGTTGGAATCATGCGTTTCTCGTCCTAAAATTCACAGTATTCTTCTACATATTTATTGAATTGGCGGGAATCCAAGTAAGAACAACACGTGAGTTTATCTAATCACGCTCAGATTCTCCTTTAATGATCGAGGTGGCTTGATCTATACCATAAAAGGAAAAGACGGTGAAGATTTTAAGGTGTGCGCAAAAGGTTTCTTTCTTTTTTTTTTTTCGACATGTTAGCCTACTCGATTGGAATTGCCGATGGATGAAAAATGTTTAATGATTTATTGCGTAGGTTACAAACAAGATGCAATTATATAAAGTATTTATATTTTGTAAATCATTTTCACAAATACGTAATGATAGACGCGGAGAAAAGTAAGTGCGTTCGTACATAAGCGGGCACAACGTGAATTTGGTTTTTCCCTAACCCATCGTTCGGATTATTATTACACAAATTATAATTAAATTATGATATATTAAGGGTTACCGAGACCGATCAATTCATTGGTATATACAGTATCTAATTATACTATATATAAAAAGGGTATATAAAAAAAGTTTTAGGATTAATAAATCTCTATATCAAACATATCACTATTCTTTCAACTTGTTTTTTTAACTTAAAATTTAGTTAAATGATTATTTTTTTTAGTAAATTTTTTTAATTGATAATCATATTATAATATATTTTTATTGAGATATTAAATAAATATTCGTAATATTACATTAACTTTCATATAATGATGAATTAATTATTGTATATTATAACTAAAGATTGATACTTAAAAATTCACTAAATTAATTTAAATTAACCAAAAAATTCTAAATAAAATATTTTAAATTAAATTTAAAAAATTATATTTTATTTTTTAATAGATTAATATAAATCTTTATCTATTAAAACTATTGTCAATAGTTTATTATTATAGATTATTCTAAAAAATATTAAATTGTTAAATTAAAAAAAAATATTAAAAATAAAAAATAAAAAAAAAGTTATTTAAAAATTTTTTTAATTAATTTATACTTTTTTTAAAAAAAGAATCTGATTAATTAAAATATTTTTTAACTTGAATTATTTAAAAAACTTTATTATTTTTCAATAATATAATTTTTAATAATATTTAAAAAACTTATTTCTTAATAGATATATAGATTTTTTTTTATAATAAATATATATTAAATATAAACTTTTATTAAATTTATAATTCAATATATCTATATTAACAATCTTTATACATGCATATAATTTAATTGTATACTATCATTATATAATATAATTATATTAACTTATACTTAATAGATGAGTTAATATATCAGATAAAATATATAAAAGAAAAAATTTTATTACTAGTTTTAAACTACTTAATCTATTATTTAGTTGTTAAATAACCCATTATATTTTTTCTTATTATCAGTACTTAAACAATTTTTTAGATCTTTATATTTTATGTTTAACTAAAATCTATATATATTAATGTCTAATATTGGTAGTTTCTTAAAATTATATATCAATTACAAGTTTTGATATTAGTATAAATTCTAAAATCTACTAAAAATAGAGGGTTAATGGAATATTTATTATTAGTTAGACTAAAAGTTTTTCTTTATATAATTTTTTTAATAGATGATTATAAATTTTAATTTTTAATTGATAAAAAATCAAAGGTCTCATTTTTATATAGTCTAATCTACTTTATAGCTTATTTCAAATAATTAAATATAATTTTTATAAAATAATTGATAAATCTATTAAAAAATTTTTATTTAATTTGATTCTTAAGAAATATTAACTACAAATTTTATAATTGTGACTTAATAAAATTATTACAATACTATTATTATTATTTTTTTATCATTTGTCAGATTAATTATATATGTTTTATTAAACATTAATATACTATACATATAAAATATGTCATCAAAATTAAATTTATAATTAGCTTACTTATCTTGATTATTACTACTTTAAGTATAACTTTGGAAATAATTTATCACTCTATTAATAATTTGAATAAAAATCTTTTAACTACTAATATCATTACCTATAGATTACTACTACAGATCCTTTTTATAAGTTCTGACAGAAGTTAAAATCTTAATCATTTTATTTCATATTTTACTTCTTTTAATAAGAGTCATTTCAGATTCTTATATTCTAGTTTTTTTTCTTCCTATAAAGGTTTTTTATAATTGTGATTTTGCTATTTTAATCTGAAAGTTTACCTAATCTTTTTATTTTATTTTTTCTATAGATTCCTCATACTTGTTTTTACTTAATCATTCTTGAATATTTTTTATTTCAAATCTTCTTTTAAAATTAATTGCAAACTTTCTTTTATATTTTTATTATCCACTTTTGGATTTTTTTTATCTATTCTCTTTTAGTAATATTTTAGATTTGATATTTTTAATATCTGATCACTTTGTATTAGCCTTATAAAAAAGTTTAGTATATCCTGATCTGTTTTTGTAGTTTCTTTTATAAGCTTTGCTATATATTTATCTAATTTTTCTAGTTCTACTTTGTTTTCAATTAGGAATTTTATTTTTTTAAAAAATTTCTTTTTTTTTATTATGTAAAGTTTTTAAAATCTTTAGAATACCTTCTATTCCTTTGTTCTATATTTTTTATTATTAAACTTTATATACTAAGTATTTTAATAGATGTATTATTGTTTTTACTTACTATTTGTATACCATATACTCTACTTATTTATATAGATCCGGTCTTTTTATAATCAGTTTGGGAAGTATTGATAACTCTTCATTGATTAATTTGATAAAGAAGCTTCTTTCTTGAAAATCTTTAAAGAAGATATCCCAAGTATACATATTCTTCATTCTTTTCTATATCAAATCTTACATGTAATTAAGTTGATTTGAAATTTGATAGTTTTATTTATTTAAAATCCTATTTTATTTTGTTTATTATAAGCTATAACTTTACTATTCATGTTTTTAATAAATTGACTTATATAATTATATAAAGTTGTTTTATGTTTTTTTTTTTTTAAAATGTCAGTGCAACATATTTATTAGCATTAATAAAGACAAATTTAAAATTACATTGAAAGTATCATAAATATTATAAGAGTTAATAAACTACCTAAAATCAAACAGTTTACCAGATTGCTTTTTATTGCTCTACCAAGAGGAGAAGAACTAGTCTAAAATTACCTTTTGGCTAGTACAAGAAATAATAAAAGAAATAAAATAGGTACTGTTATACAAGGACTAAAGTTTCTTCTACTACCAACCATTTATTGAGACTAATTCCAAGGAAATCTAATACCTACAAATTATCCATCAAAGTACTGTATCTTTTTATTTTTGAAAGGAAGGGGAAAATATTTTTCTTCTGGCTAGAGAGAAGTATGGTTTCAAATGTTAGCTTTATTGATGTTATCTCATTTGGTACTCTGCCTAGAGGATTACTCATCCAAAGATCAGGTAGGACTTACGGCTAGGAGGAACCTTAAAACTATAATGAGTTGATGATCTAGTCCTAGAGATAATGCCAGCTTCAAGCATAAGCTGCTTATTTAAGAAAGTGCAACTCTTCCAAAGTTAGATTAAGTCTTTAGGGATCTTCCAATCTGGCAGTTGTTTCCAACTCGTACTTTTATCAAGAATAAGATTGATATGGTACCACTAGCAGCCTAGATAGCCATTCTGGAGAGGGAATCATATTAAGAGTCTTGATATAAGTCATCAATTTATGATCCTTCTTTTTGTGGGGCCTATTATACATCTCTTGGTCCTACTTGTTTCTTGTTCAGGGCTCGATTCTGTGTCCAGAGTGTCGTATTTTCTTGGAGGCTTGTAATGTTCCTTCAGCATCACACCATACTGAATTTGTCCTGTTGTGAGTATGTCAGGTTACTTCTATTGATACACGAGTCCTCTTGTCCCTGAGTCTGTTCTTTCTCTTTCTTTTTTTTCTTCTGTGATGTAGAAGATGACTGTATTCTGTATCCATCTGCATGGAAGCTATATGACTTACAGTAGATCTCAGGTTCTTATGGAGTTGAGGAAATGCATTCAGACACGTGAGGTGGCCAATAGGGGCTTATTTATCAATCTGATCCAATGTGTTTCATATTAACCAATTATAATCAGTGGGATTTGTGCTACCCTAGAATTCAGGATCAAACCAAGGTAGGCAAAATCCCCCAGAAAGCCATGAACTGGAAGCTCTTAGAGACCAGAAGACTAAGTAAAGGGAAAAATATGAATTCTTGACTGGCACAAAACCTCTATTATATTTTGTCTTATTTCTCTGCTTCAAAAAAGTGGTGACAGGTACTATACCGATAGTCCTTTTTCCTTTAATAACTTTCTTACCATCAGTAGTAAGGGTGTAAACTGAACTTTATGGACCATAAGAGTTCAGTTTGCTCGAAGTTAATTGTAAACAAGAGGAAGGGAATATAGGTGACTTCTAAAGATTCTCTTCAGGTTGGATTAAGGAGAGTGTTAAGACTTTATTAGCATAGAAGTATTAAAACTTCTTGTGAACATCTTTTTTGTGTGTGGTCAGAGGATTAGTGGAAAAAGTAGTATTCATAAAGTTGTTTCATGTTACTTGATTTTAGTAATGATTTTAAATAAAATAAGATTTTTTTATCAATTATAGGAAACATTAAAACTTCTTTTTCT